AGAAAAATCATTTTAGTTGACTTTTTTTCTCGTAGGAAAAATTTCCCAGTGAAAAAAAAAGTTTTGTAGAAACATTTCTGGTTACTAAATAAACCCGTTTATCACGATGGCTGCCAGGCTTTTCTTTTATCCTATCAATTTATTTTTGAAATCGAATCAAAAGAATTCAATCCAAAATATCCAATTTTTCAATGAACAAACGAAAAAACAAAAAATTGAATTTAGATTTGAATATTTTTTTCCATTTCACTTTTATTATTATCGTGTTTGTCATCGATATACTTGAAACAAAACAAAACAAAACAAAAAAAGTTTCAAATCTCGTAATCAAGCTTTCAGTTCAAACAAACAGAGCGAAACTGAAAAAAATGAAAAATTTAACTTCCATAAAAAGAAAAACTTTTTTCCTGTTGAATGAATAACGAACTGAAACCAGAAAATAAGAATTATGCGTACAAAAATTCTCAAGATATCAGGAAAAAAAATGGTGTGAAAAAAGTATTTTCTGATCAAGATATCGACTATGGTGAAAAACAAAGCTGAAAAAAAAGAAAACTATTAAAAAACTAAACAAAAAGGGAGAATCTAGTATAAAATTGTTGATCAATGATTAATTGTGTCAATTTTTACTTGTTTTGTTTTTTTGGTAACCAAACAAAATTCGTGAAAATAAAAATCAAGCAAATCGGATATTATTCACAAACATCCATTCAGATATTTGTACAAGATTATAAAATTTTGTTGAGAAAAAAAACAAGCAAACTAATTGGACTTTATTCGCTCGATTAGGTTTTTCTTCTTCTTCTTTACTTGGAATATTATTTGCTTTTTGTAAGAGATTTTTTTTTTTGGTTGTTTTTCATTTTAAAAACAAAAAAAAATTTATTCAACTATTTATGAAAATGAGAAATGTTTTTCGCTTTGATTATCGTTCGGATATACACTTGAAATGGATTTTTTCCTGTGAAAAAAAAATTCAGTTTTTTTTTTGATCATTCATAATGCTTCCAATGAAAAAAGAAACGAAAAATGTGCGCTTCACTGTAATGCATTTTTTTTTTGAAAATTCAAGCCAATTTTCCAATTACGATTCTTTCATTCATTCAAATTAAAATCTTCAATTCAATTTTTTGATGAAATGACCCTTTATATCTACAACAATGATGATGAATCTTTGTTTTGTTTTTTTGCAAAGTTAACGAATTTTAACGATACTGATGACAAACAAAGAATATTATGAAAAATTTATGAATAGCTAGCATATATTTTTCAACCGAATAAATAAAAATAAACAATGCTCGAGGCATTCTCAATAAATTTTTGGTTTCGGTTTTGCCGACACACAAAAATAAGACGATTTTTCAAACGGTTGAATGAAACGAAAACGAAGAAAAAAAAACAATATTTCACGAATGGATGCCAACAACAGCAAAACAAAAAAAAACTTGGTATAAAAAACTGATCAAACAAAATTATAATCCTCTCTTTCTCACACACACAAAAAAGTATCCGAAGAAAAAAAAACAGCCAACAACAACAATTTTAAAATGCAAATATTCTCAGTAATTCAATGTTTGGTTTGGTTAAAATTCTTAATGAATTGGAATTTTCTATTCTGTTTTGTTGCAAAGAAAAGAAAATTCTTTCCAATCTATTTTGTTTGGCCAATTAAAAAAAAAAGAAGAGTCAACTAAAAAAAAGGACGGAAATTGAAACATAAAATTCAATGACAATTTTTCAAAAATGTTTTTTAAATCGGGCAATAAAAGAAAAACTGAAACATCCAACTATTTCCACACACCCACTCCTACATACACCCAATCCAGATCAGAAACAAGCTTCTTTTATTCTGTAAAAAAAAAACTAAAAACGGAAATTTGTTTTTTTTCGACTTTATTTTTTTGCTTGTTCATTTTTGTTGTTGTTGTTGTTTTCACAATCTATATACCCGAATCTTGTTTTTTTTTCTACTTGAAAAAAATGAAACATTTTTCTTTGGATGTTATTTGATGTTATTATTTTTTTTTGTTGTTGTTGTTGTCGTTCACTAAACACAGTTATTGATGATGCCAATTTAGACGAAGAAAAAAAAATGCATTTTACATAGAACAACAACAAGAAGAAGAAGTAAGATTTATATTTATATTCATTGAAAAAAAAACTTGCAAACATTTTGTTCATTTTATGAAAGAAATACGGATGTACATCATCATCATCATCATCATGGCATCAACAGCGTATACGAAAAGAGGATCATCATTATCATCGTTATTTTTTTTTTCTACAAAGTCAAAGACTGCAACGAAGAAAAAAAAATTTGATGCAAACAACATACAAATAATCATTTTTTTATTCTAAGTAAATAATGATGTGGTAGTTGAATTTTGTTGTTGTTGTTGTTGTTTTCCTGGCTACACCGATGATGATGATAATGTCTTGACAATGTTCGTGTTCAAATGGCAAAAATTCTTTCTTTTTCTTCATATTCGAATCATCAATTTATATTTAATTGAATAAATTTAAAGGAAACTTGAATAAAAAAGAAAGCAAAGAAAAAAAGCAAACGGACATGATTTTTTTGCAGAAGAAAAAATAAACTTCTGAACCTCTTGTTTTCTCTCCTCGTATTCACAATAATCATTATTATGTATTTGAAAATAAATGTTGTTGTTCATTCATTTGGGTAAGAAGATTTCAATGAATATTTCATATTTGATCAACGATGGGAAGAAATCGTTAGACAAAAATGTCGTGCATATTTTTTTCCATTCATCAAAACAAAAACAAAAAAACATTTTGTAATCAAAAATTATAATGAACAAAGTTCCTTTTTTTTCCATCTGATCATCATCATCAACATCACTAATTATAATTAAATTCCAAACAACAACAAAAAAAAAAACATGAACCAGAAAAAATATATCAATGTCATGAATGGAATTTTAGCGTGAAAATGAATCATTTTTTTTTTGATTCATTTTGTTTTCGCGAAAGAATAACATCATAATTGAATGACAGCCAAAAAACTGAATCGAAACAAAATGTTTATGGTTGTTGTTGTTGTTTGACAAATTCAAGCGAAAAAATTATGTCATCGAAAAATTATTCATTGTAGCAGCAGCAGCAGCAACAAAAAAAAAAACATCATATCATAGGGAATGACCAGACGATAGTTTAGAAAAATAAAAATTAAACTTTCCAACTGCAACAACAACAACAACAAAACATCTGGATCATTTCACAGAATTAGTATGGAACAACAAAAAGATTAACGGCATGAATTTTTTCAACAACGAAAAAAGAAAATATTCAAAAATGTATCATTTGGTCATCAACAAAACATATGATGCTCGAATGCATACAACAACAACAACGATTAATGGTTCTTACAGGACCGAAAAAACAAACAAACAACAAAAATCTAATCAAAAAAAAAATTTGAAAACTTTCTTGAAATGATGATTACAACAAACAAACAAAATTCCCATTGGATCAATTTAGAAAAAAAAAATGAAATTGAGAATTTTTTTTGGGAGTTTATTTTTCTTGTCGAGAAGCAAGATAAAACATCCACAATGGCACACACACACATCAAGTGAATACATTTTTCCATTTTTTGATTGACAAACTTTAAAAAATGTGGATAATAAAAACGAATGAATAAGAAATCTTTCGATAAAATAGAAAAGTGAAAACATCAACATTGAATTCATAGAATGAATCAATCCATATCGTAAATAAATAATCAAATTATATTCAAATCAAATTTTTCACTTTGAGAAAAAAAAATGAAATCCCATTTTTCATCGAAATATATAGTGTGGAAAAATGAATTTGAACGGTTATCAACCAGAATTTCTATTCAACAAGACATGTGGTTTCAATGATGATGATGATGATCATAATAATAACAATAATAATGATGGCGATGATGATGATGATTATAAACCAGAAATAAACGAAATCTTATTCATTTCTTGATGGATAGCATGGATTAAATATCGGGAGAAAATTCGGCAAGGAAGCAGAAAATTACTGTTTGTTTTTTCTTTGCATTGAAATTGACTTATTTATTTATTCATAATAGTTATCAGTGGTTGCCAAACGAATCGATAAATACTTAATCCGAAAGAATAAAAAAAAATCCATATTTAGAAGCAATTTTTCTCTTCACCATAATAATTATTAGCTTATGAATATAAATATCATCATCATCATATGATGATAATTAAAAACAAAGGTCCATTAAATTGTCCAACGAAGAAAAGAATTATGATCAAGATGATTTGGAGTGAGGGCAAGACAACAGCAAAAAAATCCCTTATCAAAATAAGATTTTAGCATTAATTTTCTGCCATACACACACTTGATTGTAACCCCATAGAAAAAAATAAAATGAAAGACTAAGATTGGAAAAAAAGGATTAGTATAACGAGGCAAATGTTATTTTATTTTTTTTGTTCCATCTATAATATTTTTTATGTAAAGATTGAGCATTAAAAAAAAGGAAATCTTTATATGAACAATATGCAGACATGTGAATATTTCTTCATTATTATCATAAATAATATGGATGAAGAGAGAGTGATTTTTTTTGTTCGTTTTCCATTTTTATTTAAAGAATTTTTCCTTCCTTTTTATCACGAATAAATGGGGAGAAAAATGGGTCCAGACAGTATTTGACAAGAAACCAAAATGTGGTAGATGCAATCCTAATCCTTTGCAATTATTTTGTCAAAAATTTTCATGATCAACCAAAAAATAAATAAAAATCGTTACAATTTTAATTAATTTTAACTAATTATAATTTTTATTTTTTTTAAATAAAACTTTTTAATTTATGATTAATTGAAAACTACAAGTTTTACTAAATGACAATTTTTAAAAAAAAACAATTACCAAACGATGATGTTGATGTTGATTTTAATTTTCGATTTTGTTGTTGCTGTTGTTGTTGTCGTTGTCGTTGATAAAGACGATGTTGATAATATTGTTCAAACGGGACATAAATATTTAGATAAAGACAATCTTCACTTTGATTACTTAAAAATGGAATCTGTCTTTGTAGACGTTCATAATGACGTGGTGAAATATGTAATTTTTGTTGAAGCTCAGATGAATCGATTGTTGATGATGATGATAAATTCATTGATGAAAATGGTAATGATTGTGGACAGACTGGTGATAGATGATTAGCTTGACGTACACCACGCCAATGAACAGGTGCTACTGGTGGCATAAAACGTAAATTACCTGATGGTGGTGTAGCATATGGTACGCCTAGAAAGGCTTCAACTGGTGTTAATGTTATAATTGGTGTTGGTATCGATGAAGATGATGATGAATTATTGTGATTTTGATTGGCTGACGGTGATGATGTGGAAGAAGTACTTGTAGATTTTTCATTATCACTATCATCGTCATCATCATTGTAACGAACAAATGTAATGACAATACCTTGTAATGCACCATATTTTGTTTGTACTGTTCGTGGACTATGCATTACATAATCAACATTATCATTTATAAATGAATGTTGCTGTTGTTGTTGATGTTGTTGATTTTGTCCATTATCATCATCAAAATCTTCTTCGGATGATGATTTTACCTGTCGACGAATCGGTTGATTTGATGATGATGATGATGATGATTCAAATTTAGGCACATCATCACTATCAACAATAACCATTATATCATCATCATCATCATCGATATTAACAGTTAAATCATCACTATTGATAGGATCAAGACCATCTAGATCGATATCGATCGAATCAGATAAATCATTACGTTTTGATGTTTTGATCGATGGATTTTCTATCTGTTGTGACCAACCAAAATCAACATTTTCTTTACTTAAATATACATTTGTATCGGATGTTGATGAATTGAACATCATCATTAGATTGGGAATCACTGTTGTTGTTGTATTGATATGATTTGACAAAATAATTGTAGATGAGGATGGTGATAAAACATGATTATTATTATTATTATTATCAATTTGTAACGACGAAACTGAAGTTGTCGATAAAGATATATTATTATTATCACTTTGAAATCTTTGATGATTAGTAATTGATGTTAAAGTGGATGATGATGATGATGTTGAAAAAACCAAACCAAAACAATAAAACACAACTAACAATGATAATAATAAATATTGATACTGGATAAATCGAAAAGGTTTTGGCCTCATATTCGTTAATGAATGTTGAAATTTTTGATAAAAAACTGAATAATTATTTAGTAAAGTTAAATAATTATTCAAAATTGCTATTTTTAAATCAATAAAAAATAATGAATATTGTTGTTGTTGTTGTCGATGAATGGACGGAAATCGGAAGAAATCATCGGAAATGAATGATGATGATGATGACAAGATAAATTGTTGTTTTAAATTTGAGTGCTGTAACTGATGATGATGATGATCATCATCATTATCATCCTTATCATGTACAATGATATTATTATGGAAAAAGTTTTCTTTATAATGATAATAATTCATTGAATTGAGGCTTTGATTCTGCTGTTGTTTTTGTTGTTGTTGTTGTTGATAATAATCGTTATTATTATCATTCGAATCAATTAAATGGCACAATGATAGGCCAGAATTTTTTTCATTATTTATTGCCATAGTTTTGTGACAATGACAAATGGAATTGGTCAATAACATTGAATTTTTTCGTTGTTGTTGTTGTTGCCGTTTCTTTTTTGTTTTCATTTTAAGTATTTGTTTTTGCTGTTTTTCAATTTAGTTTTGTTGCATTCACAAATTCGTTGTATTCAGAAATAAAACAGGAGCGAAAAAAAATAATTATAAATCTTTTACGATGTTGTGCGGATCTTGTTCTTTTTTTCAATTTAAAGACAAAAATGAATTCAATTTTTTCGTTGGTTGTTGGTTCTGAGAAGCGAATGTCATTTACTTTCATCTGACATTTTGGTGAAACTTTGGTACATTTTTTTCTAATAGAATTTGATCGCAAATCAATCAATCAATCATTTTTTTAAATTCATCGATAAATTGCCATTGAAAATCTATATTTTTTTAAAAAAAATGGATTAAGATATGAATGAAACAAACAAACAAAAAAAGTATTAAAAATTCATATACCACACACACACAAACAATATTCTCATGAACTTATTGTTTTTTCTAGTCTTCCTATTATTATAGGCTATGAAAATTGAAAAGTTTTTTTTCAAAAAATTTAAAAAAAAACTATAAAAAAAGGAGAAAGTAAAGAATTCGATACTTGTTTTTGGTTTTACATCATCCAATGATTACGTAAACAAAAAACAAAACAAAAATTGAGAATGAACCCTAAAAACATAAACTTTTAAAAACTTGATCTTTTAACACACAAGAAACGTATTTAAAAAAAAACAAAACAAAACCCAAAACTAAACAAGCAACAGCAAAAAAAAGTAAAGTAAACGTTTGTTTTGGGTCTGTTGTCTGTGTGTGTGTGTTTGTGTTAAATTCTATTGAATTATTCATTAACTTGATCGGATGAAAAAAAAACCTTTTAGCCTATCCAAATGATGATAAAATTCAATTCATTTCGATGCAAAACAGAAGGAAAAAAAAGAACAAAGAATTTGAATTTTTTTTTCTGAAAAAAATATTTTAACCAATGGCTATTGGAAATTTTAACAATATTAATTTGCATTTATTTCATTATGGTATTTTATCATTTGGTCCATTTTAAATTGAATTTTTTGTTTTGTTCAATATGGTCACCTGTGTGGCTGTCTGTGAGTTACTTTGGGAAATACCCGTAGGAAAAATTTTACAAAATTTTTTGAAAAAGCAAAAAAGAGAATACAAGGGAAATGATGGTTGAGTGGAAAATGATGATTCATTTTGTCATAATCAATTCAATAATCCTATGCATTTTTTTCCATTAAAAAAAAGTGGAAAATGAAAATTTTATTCCATTTCATTTTTTTTTCTATCAAACATTTGATGGAAATTTTATATGCGTGATGATGACATCCAGAAAGAGAATGTCAAATATAACAACAACAACAACAACAAAAAAAGATCGATCCATCATCGGATAGAAAAAAAATGAACTATTCTTCCCCATCAAGAATTGATACAAGTATTTTATTTATGACAATGTCAATAAAGATAAAGATACACTTATGAAGAAAAGAAGAAAAAAAAACATCAATAATGATGGACAAAATGATGATGATGATGGTAACATTAGAAATATGGTATTGACAAAAAAAGTGAAACAAAGTTAATATTACAATTACTTTTATTGGAATTCAATGTTCACAATAAAAGATTATTGATGAATGAAAGATTTGTGAGAAAGTTTCGTGACAAATTTTTCCATTGCATTTAGAATCGGATGGGGAGAAAAAAAAACTGTTTGTAAATCTGTTTGATCAGAAAAAGAAAATAATCTTTTCGAAAAAATCAGAAATCATCAATTTCATTTTGTTTTCCGAAGCACTTCACGAAAAAATTCTTTGTCGAAAACAAAAAAATGATAAATTCTGTTGTCATTTTTTTTTCTTCCAAAAAAATTGTAAAAAACATATAATGACTACATTTATTTCATTTAACATCAACCCGAATCGACAATAACAACAAAAAAAAACGAGAATAAAACTTTGGCTACTGACTGGTTAATGTTATTGTTGTTGATGATGATGAGCGACGAATATATTATTTATGCTAATTTTTGTTTTTCTTCACTTCAACAGAAAAAAAATATTCATTTCCAGTTTTATTTAGTGGAAATTCTTTGGTTCCATGGTTGATCTTGGTGGAAAAAAAATGAAAATGAAAATCAAGATTGAAAAAATGAAATGAAATTTGCTTTTTCTTTTTAAAAAAACTTGATAAGAAACTTTTCTCTCTCTCCGTCTCACTCTATGTTTGTTTTTGGATTTCTTTTTTTTTTGGAATACTGTGTTTGGTTAAGATTAAATCAAGCAAAACAAAAAAAACAGAATAAAATACTGGACATGATAATCGAAAATAAAGAAGAAACTAGCAAAAATTTTTCAAAGAAAACATTGAATAAACGATATGAATAGAATAGAATGAATGAGCCTATAAATTCGTTGAAAATTTAATTTTCAATGTTCTTGTCTGTGTTTTCTTCTTTACTTGATATTCACTTTCACTTTCGTTTTTTTTATAGAATTCATTTAAGATTGAAGAATATATAAAATGAACGATCAATTCTAATGTAGACAGTCTGTACAACATAAAAAAAGCATATAAGATAAACGCTTCAAGCGTTTAGAAAGCAAAAAATCAGATATCGGAAACTGAATGGGAGAATATTCTTTCTTTTTCAAATTTTCAAGGGAAAACCAGTGAAAAAAAAACGATAAATTAAATGAGCAACATAGAATACTGGAATCTTAATCAATGATTTTAACCCTTTCATTTTCTTTACTTTCTTTTTTCAAAGAAGAAAAATGAGAAGAAATAGCACTTGTATTAATCGATAATTTTTTTCGTGAAATCAAATGATTGGATATCGTATTAAAAATCATTAAAATAAAATAGTTTATCAGTACAGGGCATATTGTTGTTGTTTTTGTCGATCGAATAATTAATCAGGGAACAAGAAAATCTTGTCATAATATTTTCCCATTGTAATGTTACCATATATAGAATAAACAAAATGAACACATAATCGTTAACCAAATCGAATAAGAAAATCGAGAAGAATAAGAAAAAATACAATTCATTTAATTATATCTAAAGATATCTATCTCATTTCATCTTTATCAATGAAATTTTTTTCTCTCTCTCTCTTTTCTGGTTGGTTTATTTTCTTTATTTTTTTCTCTGTTTGGTTTGATTATCAATGATATTTGGTGACCACCAAATGTCGAACCAAGAAAAAACGAACAACAAAAGAATCAAATCAAATGGATGTTTACAGTATGCTGCTGTTTTGGTCGATATGATGATGATGATCATCATCATCATCAAAATGGAATTGAGAAGGAAAACTACTATACACACGCACACAAGAATGAATCTTAATGGCCATTCAAGGATCAAAAATGGATCTAATATGATCGACCAGAAAAAAAGTTTGTAGTGACCATAAAATAATTATCATTGATGGAAAAAAATGGCCAAAGAAGAAAAAAAATATGATAATAATAATGATATGGAGAAAGAAAATAAAAAGATTATTGTCCCTGCAATCATTTTTTTTTCTTTTCGTTTTCTCGGGAACCAAACCAAACCAAAAAAAGTACCACTCACACAGAATTATGTTATAGTCATTTGATTTTCATTATTTTTTTTAATGGGTAAACAACAACCGCAAATGAAAATGAGAATATATAAAAAAAAAATTCTGATTCAACCAACCAACCAACCAGGCTAACCAGCCCGGAAAAACATTGAGAATATCGTCAAAGGAATCTAAATAAACTTTTTTTTCTGTTTACAACTATCGCTGACTTTTTTTTCGCTAATTCAAGTTCTTAGTTTGTTTGTTTGTTTGTTTGTTTTTTTTCCGGAATAAAGTTATTTCAAAAACCAAACCCCGACAAACATATTGCCAAACAGCTTGCATTGAAGAAATTGTGTAAAAACTTACAAACAAAAAAAATTTACTAATGTTTCAAAATGAAGAAGAAAAAAAAAGAAACTAACACTTGTATCACAACAACCAGAGACATTTATGTGAGTAGAATGAATGAATGAATGAATGAAAAAATCAAAATCAAAAACAAAAAGAATTCAGTTGTATAACTTCTTTTTTTCACTTGAATGAAAATACTAATAATAAGAAATAATGTTTGAAAAGTTTTTTCCGTCCAAAAAGAAAATAGGTATTTCCTGAAATGAAAAAAAAACAACAACAACATTAATGACAAAATATAAAAAAAAAGAAACAATGACCTATGTGAAATCAGATTGATAGAAATACATCAAGAATTC